TTCCATGTCTCCTGATGACACCGCCAAGAGGAAGCATGTACAGGTTAAAAAGGACTGGACCTAAAATGGAACCCTGGGGCACACCACATGTGATTTTATGGACCTGAGAGGAGCAGGTATCCAAACTTACCATGAAGGATCTGTCTGTTAAATAAGAAGTGAACCATTTGTGGACAGCACCAGAGAGGCCGAGGTGTTGTAGGCGTGATAAAAGAATGGTGTGGTCTACTGTGTCGAAGGCAGCGCTAAGATCCAGTAGAACCAACACGGTCACCTTTTTAGAATCATAATTTAGTCTAAAATCATATAAAATCTTTAAAAGAGCAGTCTCTGTGCTGTGGTTCACCCTAAATCCTGATTGAAATTTCTCTAAAATTTGCTGCTGATCTAAAAAGGCATTGAGCTGGGTAAAAACAAGTTTTTCTAAAATTTTGCTTAGAAATGGTAAGTTGGATACCGGTCTGTAGTTGTTAAAATCATTAAAATCCAAATTGCTCTTCTTCAGAAGGGGCCTCACCACAGCCGCTTTGAAGGCTGCAGGAAAGACCCCAGTCTGAAGAGAGCAATTCATCAGGTTTAAAAGCTCCTCTCTAAAAGATTCATAAAATGACTTAAAAAATGGAGTGGGGACTGGATCTAAAAGACATGTGGTGGGCCTCACTGAGGAGAAAACTTTATCAAGCATCTCAGCATCAACCAGGACAAAACTGTCCAGTGTTTCCTCTGGTGAAGACAAACAATCAGATGTGTTAAAAACAGTTGTGCGGTTGGATAAAATGTTACATCTGATTGTATTTATCTTCCCCATGAAGTGGACTGCAAAATCCTCACAGAGGGAGTCTGTGGGGGTTAAAAGAGACATGCTAAAATCAGGGTTTAAAATGGTGTCGATGGTTGAAAAGAGGATTTTTGGATTATTTTTGTTCTGGCTGATTAGTTTTGCAAAGTAATTGTTCCTGTTTTTCCTGATTGTGTTGTTGTAAATTTGCTGTCGGTTTTTATATATTTCGTGATTGATTGTAGTTTTATTTTTTCTCCATCTTCGCTCTGCCACCCTGCACTGTCTTTTCATACTCCTTGCTTCCTCATTTTTCCAAGGGGCTATAGATTTTTGTTGAATGGTTACAATTTTTAATGGAGCAACCTGATCCAGTGTAGTTCTTAGTCTACTGTTAAAATCATCTGCTATAAAATCACAGGGGGCAGGTAAAACCAACTGAGGAGTGTTATTTAGAATGTCCATAAAATTTGCAGCCACTTCAGGGGTTAGACGTCGTTTCTTCACAGTTCTCACAGAGGTCTCCTGTTTAACAAAACCAGTGATTTTAAAAAACACACAATAGTGGTCAGAGATAGCCAGGTCAACAACAGAGGACACACCCGCACTCAGGCCATAAGTAATGACCAGGTCGAGGGTGTGCCCTCTGTTGTGCGTCGGCTGTGTGACATACATAAACATAGCATCCAGTTTGTGTTGTAAAATCAAATCATTAATGATAAAAGTTCTATTTAAAAGAGAGCGTACATTTAAAAGAGCAAACCTGATGGTGGATGGAGAGTCAATTTTGTTTGTAGTGAGGGGAGAAGATGATGTGGAGGAGCAAAGGGCAACAGGGATGAGGGTGTTGAGGGACGGTTTCCGGAGTATGGACGGTCTGTAGGGGCGGGGTCTGGACAGAACTGAAATTCCTTGTTGGGGGGGGGGAGCAGGGACTGATGTTGGAGTCCAGCGGGGCAGGAGTGATGTGGGATGGAGTGATGGGTTGTCAGAGGTGCGGGGGACGGGATTGAACTGAGTGGGTGAAATCAGGTACCGGGTGCCGAGTTTATTGATATGGAGTCCATCGGGTGTGAAGAAGGGGTGGCGGTTCCAGAACAAATTAAAATTGTCAATAAAACCAAAGTTGTGCTGCTGTGATGATTTTTGAAGCCAAGTGGTGAGTGATAGTATCCTGCTAAAACGTTCCACGCCCCGGTTCAACGTGGGCAGAGGGCCAGAGATAAAAACACTTTTCCCAGTTTTTGATAAAAGGTTAAAAAGGTCCTTAAAATGGAGTTTGGTGATTTCAGATTGGCGGAGTGCAGCATCATTTGTACCAACATGAATTATGATCCGGGTTATTGTGGGGGGTGCTGTCTGTAGAAGTGCGGGTAGTTTAGTGAGGATGGTAGGGACAGTGGCTCCGGGAAAGCAGTGCGTGATGGCATTGAAGAACTTACAGTGTTTGATGATAGAATCTCCCACCAGGAGTGTAGTTGGTGCAAATAGAGGTCGTGGAGGGGAGGGTGTGACTGGAGTAGGGCCCGGGGGAGAGCAGGGGACAGAAGAGCGTTGGGATGCGCCCGGAGCAGAGCTGCTGCGAGCCCCGTGAGCTGCAGTGGAGCAGGAGGAGGGAGCCGGAGACCGAACCGGCGCCCCTGCAGCGGGGTTGGTGGTGGTGGTAGTGCGGGCGGTTGTGGGAGGGCCATGCACCGGGCGGAGAGATCCTCCAGCAGGCGAGACAGCCTCCGCGGGGGAGCTCCGCGCTGAGATAAAGCGCAGAGACCCCCCCGCGGGCGAGGCAGCAACTACGGGAGGACTCTGCGCCGCGGCACGGCGCAGGGACCCCCCCGCGAGCGATGCAGCGTCTACGGGAGGACTCCACGCCGTGCCAGGGCGCAGAGGTCCCCCCGCGGCCACCTCAGCGTAGGACCTGCTTTGTGTCTCGCCACTGGGGATTCCCTCCGCGTCAGAGCGCACGGACCCTCCCACAGCAGGGACAGCGCTCCCGGGGGTATCCGGTGCCGCGTCGGGGCACAGAGATCCCCCCGGGGCTTCCCGCAGTTGGTCCCGCGTGACACCCGGAGAGCCCCGCGCTGTTTTAGAGCGTGGGAAGCTCCCCGAGCGTCTGCGCACAGCCTCCTCCACCAACCTGCGGCGCGAGGACGCCGTGGATGTCGTGTGGCCTCCAGGCCTCTGCTCCACGCCGCTCTGGGTATGGGCAGCGGGCTCCGGGACTGAAGAGGAGGGAAGAGCACCAAGAGGGACAGGAGGAGCAGCTGCAACCGGGGAGCGTGAGGTAAGCACCGGGGTAGAGCATGATGAGGGGTGAGGACAGGCGATTGGATCCCAGAGTGCAGTGTCGTGGAGTGTGGTGGCGAGCTGTGAGTGTCTAAGTACGGAGAGGGATATTTGCTGTGACTGCTTGAATGATATGTCCATGAAATGTTCCAGAAGTTTCTCTTTATGTATGAGTTCGGTGGATAGTTCTTTGACAGTGCGCTGAAGTTCCTCGGGGGTAATGGTGTTAACAGGTTTGGATGGGAGGATTGAAGCCAGTTGTGATTTGTATATCTGTTTGTATGAGTTCGCGGGGGGAGCATCGGTGTCCATGGTGATGTGTGTGGGCAGGCTGGTTACCGGTAAAAGGCTGATAAACAGTCCAGTTAAAAGTGACAGTAATCCTTTTTGATGCAGTCTGTTAATCAATTAAAATGCGTCCGCCATCTTGCGCATGCGTCTCATTCTCAGGTATCATTCCTATAGTCATTGAAAAAATTACAGTGCATTTTAAATTATCTTAAAATGTGTTATATGTATGTTAGCCAAACCTGTTGCTGTCCTTAGCAGATAAACCAGGAGGAGAAAGGAACTTTTGGATGGAATTGTATGCAACCGACTTCTGCGCTCACATGCTCTCCTCTTAGCCTGGCCTCACGGTGATACAAGCCGTGGTTGAGCGCGATTAAGCCATCCTCTCAACCGTAGACATGTAAATTGTAAAGGAAATATGTTTTACACCAGCCAATAATTGCAGAGAGGTTTTCTCATCCTCCCTTCTCTCATGACAACACGCGCACGAGTCCTATCACGAAGTAAAAAGAGAAGTTCATTGTGCGTCTTGAGTAACGCGCAGTAACGGGATGTCGGAAATGATAACGGCGTTATAGTTACAGTCAAAGTAACTAGTTAGATTACTCGTTACTGAAAAAAGTAACGCCGTTATTCCCATCACTGCTTACACAGCAAAACAGCCATCCAAAAGAAAGTCTTGTCCTCTCCGCACTTCCCGGTTCTATCATTCTATGGTCACGCCATCCACATGCGAATGTGCAATCCATATTGTGAGACATGAGCTCCATATACAAATAGCTAGCATGTGAGCGCAAGCTGAGGAGGAGAAGGATAGTGGGGGGCGAAAGCTCCGTGCGAGCAGAGAGAGCGAGCTCGGCGCTCTCATTCGAACATTTCTCAAAGTCAGTAAGTGCAGCTTTAAGAATGCATTGGATAATTCTGTTTCCGGGTACACCACCACCGGCAAGGTGTCAGATTACAGGCATGTCAGCGCACGTGCTTATGAACGCTCATGAACCCATCCCCACTGGCTTCAGGGCTAGTAATAAGAAACAGGAAGTAGAACTAAAAAACTCGTTGTAGAAAATTACAAAAGAAAACAGGAAATAAACCTGAACCATGACAATGACTACACAGTGAGTCCTTTGACAAGTCTGTTAAAATGATTGGTTCGTGGTCACACATAAAGACCCCATACAAAACTCCTCTGACCCTCCTGCAGGAGGTGGGTCCACAGGATGATGGCTTCTCCGTCATCGACGAGATGACCTTGGTCTTTCAGCGGGGGCTTCAGGCAATGTGGGGTTAAGTGTCTTGCCCAGGGACACAACGACAGCAGACATCAGTGGGAGCAGATGACATGGGTCGTGGTGGGCTCGAACCCACAACCATTAGGTCGAGGCAAGGCAAGGCAAGTTTATTTATATAGGATGTCTAAAGACCAGTGCTCTACCAACTAGAGCACTGGTACTAAGTTACTAAGGTTACAATGGAAACACTTTCTGTTAGTAATCTTGTTGCTATGATACTTGGTTACCATGGCGATGATGTCATAAAGCTAATGACATCACCACAATCTTAAGGTATTGTGGGGAGCTTGTGCCTGCGGACCATTGCTTCGCAAAAACACAACACAGGACGACTCATAAGTCACTACAGCTTCAAAATGGAGACCAGGAGAAAAGTGAGGGGGATCATAAAACGGGAGAATGAGGACTCTCGACTCGCTGAGACCATAATACGTAAGCATGTTGATAAGCAGAGGCTGCGATTGCAGCTGGAGGAACTGGCTCAGAGAGAGGCTGAGGCCAGAGACGAGTTAAGCGCTGAGGTGAGGCGTGAACTCAAGCAGAAGAGAGAGCAGCAACTTCTGCAGATCCATCTGGTGCAAGAACAGATGAAGACACGCCACCAATGTGGGCTGGAGCCGGAGTGCAGGAAGGCCCAGCGAAGGTGGCGGCGGACGGAAAAGTGTGCTCAGAACAATAAACGCCTTCTGGAGGAACGGCATATAAGTCAGGAGCAGGAGGAGAGAGAGACCCAGAAGAAGACGGAACAGGAAGAGTACGAGGAGCAAGTGGAGATGGCCATCCATAGAGCTTCCATGGAAAACCGTATCGCTCTTCCTCTGGGCCAAAAAAACGGTGAAGTCGATAACCGTCTTCACTTTTACAAGGACGGACAAGGCTTCCTTGTGACCTCCAAGAGGAAGTTTGAGCCTCGTCAGTCTTTAATTTTGACCGATGAGACGCCCAAAAAACAGGTGACAGTACCTCAAGGCAACACTACTCCAAAACCAAAGAGTGTGAAACAAGTAAGAGTACAGGAGCAGAAACAGCCATCCCCCAGTGTTTGCCGAGGGTTAGGGTTAGGGCCAGTCGAGAAGTTGGACCAACACTCACCAAAGTTGTTGGCCAAGAGAGAATCTAGGGGATCAGCTCTTCCTATGAGGTCCCTTTTACAAAACAATGTGGTCCTGACAGAAGATTGCTCCAAGCCTGCTCTGGAGCATAAGTGTGAGGAATTGAAATTACCTGTAATTAGTAATCCAAAAAAGAAGCTGAGCACAATCCCAGTTCAGGCACCAACATGTAACACAGGTGCCGAATTCACTCTGAATATACGTTCATGCCCTTCTCCTAATCTATGCTTAGTTGCGTGCTATCGCGAGAATAGGGTCATGTGACCACGTCCCGCCAATCACGTCCCTTTATTATCCGCTACCCGGAAGTTACCGGTAGACGTGAGGGAAGCCCAAGCATTTGCTGCTGAAGGAGCCAACTTCCAGTGCCGGACCGCGACATATGAGCCAGGTGTTAGGATAAAAGTGGACTTGGCCAGGCTTTTTATGGTTGATGGCGAGCTACCGAAACAGGATTCTAGCCTGAAGAAGAAGTATCACTCCACCTGGAGATTCCTACCAGGAACCCCAACCTCCTGCTCTGTCTGGGCTGGTAGGAGGCTCTCGCAGCCACCCTCACAACTCACTCGCACCTTCATTCTCCGGCCCTCTCATGCTCATTCACTCACTCTTCCCCATGGGTCACTACCTTACCCTGGATACTCAAACCTGACCCCGGGTCGTGTTGAACTGTTGCCACCTGTGCGAATACTAAACTTAAGTAGGAGTTAAAGGATTGCTCCGCTTACTTTACTTTGTGGACACTGCACCTTTTGTATAATTGATGTGGGATTATGGTTTCTCTACTGTGTAAATACTGTTGTTTCTACTTGAATGGCCATTCTCAATGTGTTGTCTGTCTTGGTTAACTTTTTATGCATAATATACGGTACCAACCAAAAAGCAAGTTACCGTCTCTGCCTCCTCTCTCCGAGCCGACACCTAGTCTTCTAGCCTAGCCCATTTGAATAGCCTAAGACCAAATTCTATTGCATTGTAACTATAAGCGTCCTATATTCTATATGGTATTGGTTATTTATTTAATACGTGTTTAATTGCAGCAGATTGGCTACAAACAGGTGAAACCAAGTCTGAGAGAGGCAAACATCCTGCAATTCAGCGTCAGGTGAAGTCAATAACATTGCCAGAGGAGGAACCATGCGGAATTGTGGGCAATGTGAAAGTGGTTAGAATCCCAACCCGGGTGGCAAAGCGAAGCGAAGTCCCAGGTTTGGATCCAGACACATTAGCCGTGATGTTCCATCCACGTCCCCCCATGACACAAAGACAGCCTGGAAGAACCGGAACGTACAAAACCAGCCACCGGGTTGTCAGATTCCCCCAAGGCCTAGCAAACAACTCTAAAGTCCCAAACAAAGTGGCTTCAATCCTCACAACTCCCCAACATGTGAGACCCCACATTAGTCACGTCTCTTTCTTTTAAGAAGGAGCTAAAACTTGGATATAAACAGGTTCGCAAAACTCCCAATTATAAGTGAACTAAAAAGTGTCCAAAAATATCCCCAAAGTGTCAGCAAAGCAACAGAATGTGATTCTATTGTTTTGTCTGTATTTGGCAAACCAACACACACTGACCTCTCAGCCATGAGTTGGAGATCTATAACCTGTGGGTGTGGTTAGACACTGCACCCACAGGTTATAAATGGTCTCTCTGTGGTAACCTCTACCCCCATGTCGAGGTGTCTAACCCTCCCCCCCCCCCCCTTCCCATAACAAACACAGACCTGTTTGCCATGGGAGGCCCACCAGGGTGGGGTTAGACCCCTCATATGGGGGTCATTGGATCAGAATCCAATGACACACACTGACCTCACCTACTGACTCTTTTTGGTACATTTAGAGTCACACAATCACACAATCAAACTGCAAGCAAAGCACTGGGATATCTGATCTTGTTGTTTTGTTCATGTTTGTTGATCTGCACATCTGACCTCTCCTCAGAAATGTGTCAAATTATCCCCAAAGTGTCAGCAAAGCAACAGAATGTCTGATTCTATTGTTTTGTCCGTATTTGGCAAACCATTACAATTACACACACTGACCTCTCAGCAGTGAGTTGGAGACCTGTGGGCGTGGTATCTCACATTATAAATGGAGAAACAGAGCTCGGATACAACTTCAGACATTACCCTTTACCTCACAGTCCCAGTCGTGGAAATAACGATGAACAATGACTAGGTAGATTTTAAATCCTTAGATTGTAAATCCTGCTTTTAGCTTTGTTACACATGTATATGTTGGATTGAGAAGACCTTTGGCATTAAAAATGTATTTAATAGTTCTTTGTCCTGTTGTCTTGGTTACTACAACCGTATACCACACAAAATACTGCATTGTATCTATGAAAGTGATCAAAGAAAAGATTGCGGACTGTCAGCTGTGTCTGCGGCCACATATGCTACGCAGGCCAATGCTAATGCTAACGCATTTCTTCCGTTCCTTATTAGGCATTTTCCTGTTAAGCCTGGTTCACACGAGACAATTTTAAAATTGACGGCCCACACACGGAGATAAAAAATCACGGGTCTAACCCCTTTGGTCGTACAGTGTGTGGTGTGCAGCCACATGGCAAAATCACGCAAACCACACACATCACACATGAACCGATTTCACCCCCGAGCATTCACAGGTCAGACGGAAATCTCACAACATCTCTCGAGATCAAGTGTTACTTCTGAGTAAACAGAGTGTGCGGGCCTCTCTGCTTCACGCAGCCTATAGAGACTCTCGTCTGACCACAGCAGCCACAGATACCATGAGGACAAACACATACATGTGGATGTTACTGCTCTACAGTTCTCTGGCCCGTACTGTCTGTGCTGTTCCACAATACAGTTTGTACGGACTACCTGTGAACGCATCACACACATTGCTAGACATAAAACTTTACATACGTGCAAACCAACAAGCAGGGCTGCAGCAACGGCTGCATCAACACGTCTGTACCGTATTAGGACAGAGTGCAAAGTAAACGTACAAACACAACCCATCAGTCTGATCATTTATTGTACTAATCCCGTCCGAATAGGGCTTATGCCAACACTACCTGTGCAACAGCAATTTCTGCCCAATTCCTCTCCTCATTTCGGTGATGATATTCTTTACACGACACATCATACATACATACATTCACGGTGTTGCCAGAGGTCAACTAGTTGTTCCTCCATCTCTGATGTCCACCGAACTTTCTAATGCGCCATGCCGCTGACTTTTTTTTTTTTTTTTTTTTACGGCGTTTCCTCGCCGGCTTGTCTCGTCTTCGGATTGGCTACACGCCGCAGTCATGGCAACGTGCTCGTCTGTCCCCGGGGCACACCACACACGGAGAGAAACAATCCAACATGTTGGATATCCCCGATATTGAGATCGGAGCAGTCCCGAAGTCCCGAGCGACGAGCACAGTCTTAAGACACCACACACGGCAGGAAAATCCATCAGATTTTTTGTTACGATATTCAGAGCGTTCTTACGATTGTCGTAGGGGTAAATCGGGTCCAAAATTGGCCTAATTATCCTGCCGTGTGAACCAGGCTTAAGAGAAATAAATTTTAACAAATAAAGACTCCATAAGTTCCCCACTTGATATGAGCAGTTGCCACAGCTGCACACACCGCAGAAAAAGAGCATATTGACTCGGAATCAGTAAATTTTTACATTGTTCTTAATGGGGAGATTTACTTCCTCTCCCTCGGAGGACTTTCGCGCCGCTGCGTAACGTCAGCTCTAACCTAGCAATACAGCCGACATCTGCTTGCCGCTAACTTGCCAAGGCTAGCCGCAGACTCGGTTGTCTGCTGTTTGCTTAACATAAATTAAGAATGTGGGTATCGGTTGCCCTGGATTGGGTCCTATGCAGTGGGGGCAGGCCCCGGCTCAAAAGTGGCCAAAATGACGTGCGCTGACATGCTTGCAATACCATCCCGGGCCGATGGGGGTGGACCCGGAATAAGAATTAGCCAATGCTAACATATAGCATTGGCAGACCTCTCGAAAACACCTTCACAGGATGTCCAAAAGTTGGCTCTTGGCCCAAAGCTCCGTTCCACATGTGTGTCAATGCTGAGGGGGGTGAATTTTTTTTGGACCACTCTAGTTTACTTGCTGTGAATTTTTGAAGTCTCTCGTTCAAATGAATGGAGCTTGCGCCGGCTGACGCATGCGCAGATGCGTTTTTTCACAAATGTTCTTGTGGGCGAGACCCCTCTCGGCTATTTTGGATAGCTCCGGTAGAGCACAATTTTTTGGCCCATTAGTTAGAACGGCGTGACTACATCCATTAATTTTTACAGTCTATGGTCCTATGGTATGAGTATGAGTACGAGTTCAAGCCTATGGTATTGATACTAGTATCGGTGCATCCCTACCTGTAACGACCTCTCCAAGTACCTCTGTTACATGTTAGTGCCATATGAACAAACTCGGATTCTGTGGAACACAGGGACTGGCCTAGCCTGGCCATAGCCCTCTGTAAACTCCACTCAATCATTATTTTACTGCATGTAACGTCTGGGTCTGGTCCCTGAGTTAGCAAATACAATCGGTCGTATTTCGACCGGCTACTCAGAGAGCGCGGAAGGCAGGTGTTGTAGGTCGGTGCCGGTGACGTCAAGAGTTTGCGCCGAACGGGCAGGTTGTGGTTTGGCAGTGGCAGAGAATGCGATAGTAAAGTATTCTGGTCTGGTTCTATCAAGAAATTGAAGCAGGAGCAAGGGGAATGTTTAGCAAATGTAATCGCGGGTCAAGATTGGGGCGCTACTCCCCACGGGCTTCGTTAGCAGCAAAGGAGATGGCTAGGCTAAATGCTAAATGATAACAACACACTCGGGCGCATTACATACGTCATGGTAAACTCAGATCCAATCGTTTCAATCTGCAAAAGGAGTTAACCCATCCCACCTGTTCATGGAGCTCAATGGAGCAAATCCAGACCTTAGTACGAAATGTAATTTGTACTATGGTGTGGTACAACCAGGCTAGGATTGGCCTGCTGCCGGTGCCCCTAGTAAGGATTATAGACTGTATATATTAACGGATGCAGTCACGCCTATCTCCGCCGTTCTAACTAATGGGCAAAAATTAGTGCTCTACCGGAGCTATCCAAAATGGCCGCGAGTGGTCCTGCCCACAAGAAAATTGTGAAAAAACGCATCTGCGCATGCGTCAGCTTGCGAGAGTCCCATTCATTTAAACGAGTGCCTTCAAAAATTCACAGCAAGTAAACTAGAGTGGTCCAAAAAAATTCACCCCCCTCAGCATTGACACACATGTGGAACGGAGCTTTGGGCCAAGAGCCAACTTTTGGTCCATCCTGCAAAGACGTTTTTGAGAGGTCTGCCAATGCTATATGTTAGCATTGGCTTATTCTACTTCTGGGTCCACCCCCATCGGCCCGGGGTGGTATTGCAAGCATGTCAGCGCACGTCATTTTGGCCACTTTTGAGCCGGGACCCGCCCCCACTGGTAAGGACTAAACATGGGGAGGCCGTATTTCAGATTTATGCAACTAAAATATGGAAGTCTTCTTGACAATGCTCAAATCCAGGTAAAAAACAGTTCTGTTTTGCTGTGCATACAACTGGAAGATTTTATCTACACTCTTTTTAATGCCTTGTGTGACTGTATCTCGTATTGTTCACTTGGAGTTGCCTTGTGTGTGAATTGCGCTATACAAATAAACTTGCCTTGCCATAGTATTAGTTTTTTGGCAAAGGATATTGACCATATGGGGGCGACAGTAGCTCAGTTGGTAGAGCAATGGTCTTTGGACCTAATGGTCGAGGGTTCGATCCCACCACGACCCATGTCAACTGCTCCCACTGATGTCTGCTGTCGTTGTGTCCCTGGGCAAGACACTTAACCCCAATGTGCCTGAAGTCCCAGCTGAAAGACCGAGGCTGCATCTGTGTCGAAGGAGCAGCCATCTTCCCGTGGACCCACCACCTGCAGGAAGATCAGCAAGGGACTGGTGCTGTGTGAATTGGGTGGCAGTTCTGATTGCCTCCCCCCTGACCCAGAAATGGAAAATAAAGGGATGTAAATGAAATGAAATGAAATGAAATGATATTGACCATGTTTGTTCTGTATACCTTCATGCCATTGTGCCTTCACA